TTTTCTATGCGATACGCACATATCTTTCTAAACGGTAATAATTTCAGATTTTTTGCTTCATAAACAGTGGCGATAAATGCAGGGATTGTTTTTTCCACATATTTGAACATAATAAAAAATTACGCAGTATTAAAATAAATAAAAATCAGTTTTGATATATACAAAAGAAATCGTTTCATATGATACGCCACTTGGACCAGTAAATAGAACAATTTTGGAATTTTGAGTACCTCTTTTAAAACAAAACTGCAGTATTAAATCATTTTCGCCAAAGTGACAGTTACGCCCTTTTCATCCCGAAGTAACGACATTACTAGCAATAAAACAAACGCTCACAATTCGGTTCCCAAATGACAGGAGTTGGCCACTGTTTTATAATGCTGTTGAGTTTTCGACAAACCGCTGGTTATGCTAATTTCCGGAGTACTTGATGGGAATCGTAACTGTCAATACTATATACATAAATAATATACGTACTTTAATTCTATGCCAAGTCTTATTACAAATTTAACAATATGAAAAAAAAGTTCTTATTGGATAATATCATTTTTAGGAGTGTGGTGACAGTCGACATGACATGGTATATTGTTAGCAACTGGGCCACTAGTCCCCTTTCTAGTTATCTCTGTCCGCCTCCCCCCAACCCCTATACCTTCTAAATAGTCCAATAATATTAAAAAGGCTGTCTTCTTAGATATGGTAAAACATTCAGTAAAGCAGGGAAGACATCTAGTAATAGATTGATACAAGTTGAGATTAAATACGAAAATTAGATATTTTGTGGCCAAATTAATAATATGAATGTAAAAATGAATTGATTTTTTATTACTTCTTAGTACTTTAACAGCTCATCTTATCGTTATGAAATTTGGTATACATATACTATTCAGGAAGAAGAAGAGACTTGACTACTATTTATCCTGGTCAAACAAAATATGCCGGCGACACGGACTAAGTCGCGGGTAAAAGCTAGTAAATTATAATACACAAAAATTTGACTATGCAAAAGACGAAATTATTAGATATTAAAAACGAGCATGTTAGTAAAAGATAACAAAACACGTTCTTTATTTGAACGATATGATCATGCTGAGCCAAACTTATGCGGGTTGGCCAATATCCTCAAAAGGCATTTACGTTATTCTACTTTACAGTATTTTTAGCTCCGCAAAACAGGTAGGTATTTCCCTCGAGATTGCAGATTAAAGCTCTCGCCTAGTCAATCTATATTCCTCTAAAATCTAACTGAAGGTCGTTTGACTGAACGAGTCCAGCTATTAAAGCTGTATCTAATAACATAAAGAGTAATATTGGCGGAAATAAGATTAACTTTTTTAACGAGCAGAATGTAACAGTGTATCTATTTCATTCGATTTTTTTTAACTTTCACTACGATGTTATTAGTGTAGAATCATTTTTAGCAGAATATTTAAACATCGATATAAAAAGTTGCATTCTACAGCGTTACGCGCGCGTCTTTCGCTTGAATAACCAATATCATTCAAATACGTCTAGACGTATTTAAGAAACAACTAGCAGTTTAGGCATGATTATCAAATATCCATTATCTTTACAAACTTTTACGTTTATATTATTAACTAGACATTTCCCACGGCGTTACCTGCTTCTAACTCTGTAGTTCCCGTATATCATTCCCATTGGAAACCTTCATGAGTCCGGTCTCATACACGTGTATTATATACTTAAATGATAATTACATACCTAATAGGAGTACCTTTATAAAGTTTCAGCTAATTCAGCTGATTGTTTATATTATAGCATTTTATATGTGATTCTTTAGATTGATATAACTTTTTTATTTATGAACATTAATGAAAACCGATTTCAAATCGGTTAAACTGTTTCTAAGATTAGCGTGCACAAACGTACAGACAAGCAGACAAAAATCCTAAAAAATATTGTTTTAGGTTCTATTATGTTCATAAAACCCCCCTATACTAGTTTTTCTTATATTATATGTCTTTCATGTACAGACAGTAAACATGTAAATGACCACATTTACGTTTTTATTATATGTATTAATTGATTGATAAATTTCGTCTAGTTCACTTCACAAATATTATTTTTAGTAATAATATAAAACACATTTTTAAACATATCTAGCAATTAAGGCTTGAATCAAATATACCTAGTAGTGAATATCTATTCCGAGATGATTGAGACAGAGCGCAGGAATTCATGTGGAATGAACACCATTTTCATCCATGAAATTCTTTATTGTTTTATCAAACAACTGAATTAAAATCCCCTTTCTGAAGTCGGTTAATAATTAATATTAAATTAACACGTGAATAAACTGCCTATATTAAAATCAGAATTATAAAAATCAGTATATTCAGAAATGACGAGGATGGTTAGTGTGTACATAATATATTATAGTTATTTATGTCGACTTTATTCACGTTTAAAATTCGGAGATGCCCGACTTGTTTCGAACTCGATAAGCGCGCATAGGAAAAATATAGCATTTTACATTTTAAATAATCTAAAAAAAAAAGTATCCACAGTTAAATTGATACCTACTTATCATCGTCATCAACATATCAGCCTTTAACCATCCACTGCTAAACCTTCCAGTAGTTGCTATGCTTGGCAGGCGGATTAGCAACCGCAATTAGGCTTTGCAGATGTTTTAAGAGGGACGCTACTGCCCATCCCTCGCCCTCCCTTAGTAGGCTCTTACGACACCCACGTGAAAGGAAGGGGTGGCCTATTCTATGCCGGGACCACACAGCGAATACTTACTTAGATTATTTAAAATTACCTACCTATATCTACTATTAATTTATTTTATTTACACAGCTAATTATTTGTAAACGATGCAGATATAAGTATATTTATAAGTAAGGAACAGATTTCTCGGGATTGCAAGTTTGACCTACTAGGTCGCCACTACCGTCCAGCAGTATGTATATGAGACGTTGAACAGAATGTTTAAAAATTTAAAGCGGAACTCCCGACGACATACATTGCGAGGTTTCCCGATAAACATCCCCGGGCGTCAAGCCGCTTTGTTTACGTTCTACGCGCGGCTACGTGATGTATTATCCTGAACACGACTTCCCTAACTGAAAATAATTGTCTATACGCCACTACACGTAGGTACCTACTACATTGGCAAATTGACATTGTTGGCAATTTTCGCTTAATTGGCAGTTATAGTACTCGTAAGTAGGCATAGTGCGAGTGTGAACTGCATAGTAAGATCTTTGTGGGAGTGTGAATAATATAAAGGAGGAGGAAAGGGGACGCCTTCTGTCTACTCTATTCACTCGTAACCTCTTCTGTCGCACGTCGTATAAAGTTGAAAAGTAGTAGGTAGTTGCAAAATCATAAATGCAAGTTATAAAAATCTCATTTAATCATATTATGAAATTATTGCTATTTTAGCATTTGATTATATTGACTGTGTTCAAAAATAAACGTATAGAAAGAAAGAAAGAAAACATTTATTGCCAACACGAAAAAGAGTTACACTTATTAACAATAGAAAATAAAGTTCATATTTCTTATTGCTGACGTGGCTACCAATCAGCAAGTGCTGCAGCAAAAAAATTGTAACAGCGCTGATATTCTATTGTAGCTCGTCAATTAGAAAAAAAAAATGGGACATAAAACACATACATGTGTTTTATGTCTGATATGAGATAAGATAGGTGCATAAATATTAAAATAATACATAAATAACAATACCAATTTACCGTCCGTCACTAATTTTAAAATTAATTAAACCCCATTAAATTATTCTCTATGATAGACGTAGGCAGTTTCAAATGGTTAAAGACGTATTTTTATTAACATGCTTATTTCATTCCTGTAAAAACAGTCGGTGAAAGAGCAGCGTAATTTCCTTAATTGCTAAACATATCAAGCAATTCAAAAACTGAAAATCTGCAAGAGCTTTAATTAAATGTTGATCAAAGCTTCCCTAAGTGTGGACTCCGCTGTTCAGTCGGTCGAAGTTCTAAATAAGTAGGTACTTCAAGGTAGGTATTTTAAGATATCCAGCAAAACCCGAGATTACTTAGATAATTGAATAACGGTTTTTTTATTACCTACTTTATGTTTATTTTTATTATGTTTGATTGTACCTAATATTTTAAATTTAAACGGAAAATTAAATACACGTGTAACACAGCTTTATAGGATCTCACAACAATAGGATTTTGTTTCACCCTGTTCCATCAACTCTAATCAAATTTTACCTAGAAGGCATGTCTTGTACACATAACCTACCCGTATATCAAATTTTAAGTATAAGTGCGATTAAGTAACAAACAGACAAACATCTAAATAACCAAGCGTTTTTACAAATTTATCCTCTCATTCATAAAAACGTTAAACATTTCATAAACCTATTTTAGCTATTCAAATGTTTTGTCCTTTTCTTTTTCACTACCATCTCAATTCGAAAGACGATGACAAAACATTATAACAGTTAAAATAGGTTTGCAGGACGTTTTAATTTATATGAATTGGGAGGTTATAATATTAATAAAACTAACTGTATCCTATGACTTTACCCGCGTAAATTAGTCAACAGAATAGGTATCTTGTAACATCAAATTTCATAATGTTTTTTATGTACTTGTAAGGCAAACAAGACAAAACAGTTTTATCACTCTTTTGTCTTGTTTGTGTCACATATAATGTCACTTGCAACCCTTAACAAAATATAAAACTATAATAACTTATAATCTAAACTTCGGCTTTACAATCCTATCCGTAGCCATAGATTAAGAATACTAAATATAATTTACCTTTATACAACTTAGTATTTTAACATCTTATCTTTTTGACATTAGGCACGCAAGACATAGAAAATAATATCATGACTGACGTTTTATGTTGACTGACACATATGACGCGAACTGCCCATTTTGTACAGACAAATTATCTTTTTGAAGTATAGGCAGCATGGTCTCCGAACTTAGCCTGTTCCAAACGGAACAAACGTACTAAAAAAAAAAAAAAAATGCCCATTTTGTTTTGTTTACTGTTTATATAAATCTAGTTTGTTATATTGTTATTTAATTAATTGTAAGGTTTTTGACATTGTAAATAATTCAGTAACTGTTAGACATTTGAGCACATCATAGTCATATTAACGAGATCAATCATAGATAAATACTTCGTATGGTAAGTTCAACAAAATTCTTTTTCATATTTATTACTAGTAATATTACCACATATAAACAGCGTTTTGTATGTATTTTACATTAAGTATTGTAATAGTGGTACCCTGAATGGCAATAAACTAACTTTATACTAACAGTTTGAATATTCAGATTCGAATTAGGTTTGAATATTTCAAACCTAATTCGAATTAACCCCATTATCTATTATATCTGTAAAAGCCCTTAAAAATAAAAATAAATCTATTACATAAGATAAATTTATAGATTATACATTTGTTTGTTTCTATAGCAGCAACATTTTTGTGTATACATAACAACAAAAATAAACACACACGACAAGAAAAAAAAAGGAAGATCATAAAAAAATAACATATTATTTAAAATACTTGTATTTTGTTCCACTGTCTTTATTAAAATAGTTTTATTATTTATATACTATTGAAGTATTTTAGATACTTATAATTATTAGTCAATGTAATGATTTATCTGTTATGATTTGTTTATTTTATTAAGAAGTGTATTTTTTTATAAACATGAAGGAAACTAGCAATCAATAAATGGTAAATTGTACTCAGAGCATTTCTACACTTCTACAGACACTGAAACAAATTAAATAAAGTATAATCTAGAAGCAGAAATCCTTATGTGCTGTATATCACTTAAATCTATGTAGCCATACACATTCCACATTCACAAATTATCACTATTATTCGCCATCAGCTGTCACTAGTGGTGAAAGTAGTTTATAAGTTCTATATTTTTTAGCAGATTTTTCTGTAAAAGAGCAAGATTTTTAAATCTAAGTCAAAGTAATGATCATTTATTCCTACTTAATGAATTACACAGTAAAGTAAAATGTAATTCATTATCCTAGTATGAATGCAGTTACACATAATACAAATATTGTATTTATTTAATATTTCTCATTTACATACTCTTAGGAAAAAGTATGGAAATTCACTCACAAAAATTTACTTCATTAGACATTTTATTATAAAATTTAAAATACTAATAAGTTAACATTCCACTATATTGATTGACATTAATAACTATTACCTATAGATATGAACTGCATCAAAGATATCGTAGAACACACTGTGACATCTATAGTAGGGTGGTAGTATATAGCAATATTTACATGTTGTAGTTACAATATCTATATATTGGGCCAATACAGGTACTGCTTATCTAACATAATATCGAACTCATAATATCCAACTGGTATGGGCTATATAAAATAAGGTGCCTCTTTTCCACTATCAGTGTTCAAACAAATGAAATATATAGATACCACAGTGATACCAATATTACCCATACCTAATCCATAGGTGTCCTCATTTGAGGACCAAAATTCCTTGGTACCCTTTAATTTTACTAACATCTGATTCTTTATATCAAAATATAGATAAGCAAAGTATCATGCTTTATAACAGAAACATGAGTAAGATAGAGGTACCCTTGTACTTTTATACACAATCTTAGTCTGATAATCTATATAAAAATAAAAGTTATTGCCACTTTTTGTTGTAATTTTATAACTCACCTATCCAAACCAAATATTTAGGCTTTGTTCTGACTATTTAGTAGATGGTTTATGTGAAATTTGCACAAAATCGGTCGAGCGGTTCTTGATTTATCAAATTTTTTTGTAACAAATTAATTCAATAAATGGCGGATCATTTTGTAAATGGGATTTTTGTGTCAAATTCAAACTTTTTTTAAGATAGGGATTGTGCTGTCAAAATGAAGCTTTTTTCAGTGTTAACAGTACAAGCATGTTATGTCATTCATGTGGTCATTTCATTTTGGACGTGTTTCGATTAAAGCAAATTGTCAGCGATAATTATTGCTTTGTGTTTATATTTTTAAACATATTGTTGAGTGCATTTATACAAATGGTGAGTCTTGAATTGTTCAAATGTATACTATGTATATGTGTGCATATACTTTTCTCAGTTTTTTAGCGATTTTTGTTTGAATTAAAGAATTTTATGTTAAAATTAATTTTTATTATTATTTCACTTTATATGTAGCAAAGCACGTACCGGGTCGCTAGTTCTATATAAATATACTTTATCCGAGTATTACACAAGTACTTCTATTACTGAAATTAATCGTTCTTTTTTCTTTATTTATTTATTATTTGTTATAAGAAGTACCATTGAATCGAGTTATATTTAGAAAATAAATAGCAACTGTATGATGTGAACAGGTATAACATTTATCGTACAGGTATAATATTTATATATATAATGTATCAAAATCAAACTCGGAAATTATAGTTCCAAAATTCTAAAATAATAATATTTTATTTCTCACCACCAACAATTAAGGAATGCACTACTTATAGAATGCCGAACATTTTGACAACCTGCTGGCCAAGTATGGCAACTATTGGCAAAACCCCTCAAAGGCGTGGCCTATGTTTAGCAGTGGACAGTTAATGTCTGATATAAAAATAATAACAGTGCAATGCCTTCCACTTACAAACTAAGCATTTACATAACTAATATAGCTACCACACAAATGATAGATATAGTAATGTACTATTTTATTCTAAAAATCCTGATATTTCATTTAATATGAAATAATATACCAAACCACTATTTAATAAAAGAATTGATTTAATGAATTAAATTGATATGACTACATTGAAAAAAAAAATTATATATATATTCTTTATTGCACAAAAACATACAGTAACAACAATAAGTTAATAACAATGTTAGCAAAGGCGAACTTATCTCTAAAAGAGATTTCTTCCAGTCAACCTAACGCAGTGGCATAGGAAGTAGTGAGTGGGCAGTAGTAGTGCAAGACAGAAATTTAAATAAATATTTACATAAATTATAAATAATTATATATATACACACATGCATTCACATATATACATACATACACATACACATATATATACATATACACATACACATACATATACACACATACATACACACGTTAAATACAACATATAAATATAAGATACAAGAGAACACAATGATGACAGTCTTCTAATCATTTTTATATTTAAATTAAATTGGAAAGATAAAATGATTTTAATCTTTTTTTGAAGGAACTGCTAGATGGGCTATTCTGAATATTCACGGGAAGTTTATTCCACAGCTGTACAGCACGATATGCAAATGAGTTACCCATAAAATGGGTTTTACAGCTGGGAAGCTTCAGTACCCTGGACTGGTTCAGACAAAGACGTCTAGGTCTGGAAGGAGGAGGTAATAATTGGAACCGGGAACGAAGGTAGGAAGGAGAATTGGGATTATTAAGGATATTATATAGGACCGCTAGGACATGTGTCTCATGACGATGTCTAATTGGGAGCCACTTTAAACGAGTGCGGTATTCCGAGACATGATCATATTTTCGTAAGCTGAAAATAAAACTTATCGCTAAATTTTGCAACCGCTCAAGCTTATTTAGCAGCTCCTCGGTCACATCTAAGAAACAGACATCGGCATAATCCAGAATGGGAAGAAGAAAAGATTGTGCAAGCATAATTTTGGTATTGAAAGGGAGAAAGTATTGGAGACGTTTGAGAGAGTGATATGAAAAGTACATCCGTCTACTAATGTCATTAATATGAGAGGTCCACGACAATGTACTATCCATAATAAGTCCTAAGTTTTTCACTTTATCAGTATAAGATATCCTAGTACCCTCGTATACCAATGGAGGAATCTGAGACCATTCCAACTTACACCTCAGCCTGCCACTACCGACAATCATAGCTTGAGATTTGGCTGGATTAGCAATAAGACTAATTATAAGAATATATTAATTTTTTATAAAAATATAATAAGAAGCTAATTGTTATCAAACGTTTAAATAAATCACTTATTTATGTATGTATATAAATATGCTTGTTCCGGCATCACGCAGAAACTATTACGAAATTGGATGCTGTTTTCATAGTTGTATTCTTGAAGGTTAACTTAAAAATAGAAGTATTTTATCTTAATATGTATTTCAATAATTTTCCTGCTTCATATGAATAATTAGCGACCGAATACCAATATAAATTGATTGTAGGTAATGCCAATCAACAGCAAATTTTCTTCGAACGCAACTTAATTTGTTTCGAACGTAATTTATCTAATTATGTATGATTGCTTCACCAAGATGACTCCATTTAGCTTATATCTGATAAACAATATTACTTTTGCGTTACGTTATCACGAAGACTCTAACCACGCATAAAACTGTGTGGCGAAAAAAGTTCGCCGAGCAAATATTTTCCTCAATTGTCACTTTCGTTAAGTAAATTACAGCCCTCATAGGTTCTATAGGTCACCACTATATGAAATCCTTAATGATACTCTAATTTGCTACGACAAACTGATATATATATATATATATATATATATATATATATATATATATATATATAATCACAGTTTATAAAGATATCTTTAAGTACGGTTGCCACACCGCCTGCCAAGCATGTCAAATACTGGCAAAACCCCCCAAGGGGGAGGCTTATATTCAGCGGTGGACAGTTAAAGGCTATTATGATGATGTGGATGATATGAATATTATTGCCGTTTGCGGGGAAAGGGATTGTTAGTAATGAGGTCAATTAATAGCAATATACTCTGTCAGGTCGACCTCCACGCGGTTCCCCCTGGAAACCATCGTGGTTAATTCTTGTGAAATTTATCACGATGATGCCTAACTGACCTACTTTCATACTTATCTATCATCCCTCACTGGTGCCCTGCCAACGTATATTGATAGCGCAGGCGGAGTTACCACTCCAAGATCATCCCATAAAAAAAATTAGTGCCGTTTTCGAGAATATAGCCAAAAGACTCCATAAATAAACTTATATACACAGTCCATTTTTTAATCACAATTATGCATCAATTATAATAACTGTTAGGTGTCTAATTTGTATGAGAAGTGCAATAAAAATAATTTTGTTTCTTACTTAAATATTTATGTATATTTAAGTATGAGACAAAATTAATATGAGGCATGTGAGTTCAACTCATTTTAAAACAATTATTGTCTAGTAGTAAGATGGTAATTTCCCAACAGTCATATTTGAAGTATGCGTCATTTGGCATTATTGATGCTATCTTAGTTTTTTTGCTTAATATCTCCTCTGCTCATATTTTAATTGATCATTAAATATTTAGTTGGTTATTTGAGGTAGAGAAAAATTTCAACTTAAACCTACTTAGTAGAAAGGTGTCAGGTAATTAATCATAATTTTATTTGTTTCTAGCAAATACAATTGATAAAATGCAAGCAGCTAAATTACCAAGAAAAGAGGAAGGAAAAAATATTGAAGCTAAAGTTAAATCAATATTAAGTACAGTTTTGGAAAGATGTAAAAAGGAACGCGATAGCGGTGCTTTGCAAGTACCATTGGATGAATACATTCAACGTGCCTCCTTCTATACAGGCTTTCCAAGTACATATATAAGAGCAATTAATAGTGAAAAAAATATATTTGTAAACACTAAGGCCTTTAGTATTAAACAAATAATTGCTATTTTAGAATGTATCAGTAAGTTTTATGAAAACAAAACTTCGCCGACCTACTACTTAATTTACGAGACGGTAAAAGAAGGTACTGATTTACCAGAATTTAAGATCTTTAAACAAGAAATGTGTTTAATGGGGTACCGCTATAGACAAACTAAATCTGGTCTATTATTTTTAGAAGATCCAAAATTTAGTTTTGAACGCTTCCATTATCTTAGTAAGATAAAAAAGTTAAGAAGTAAAGATGCAAATATCTGCTATATTGATGCAAGAATTATAAATAAAGAGCAGACATTTGAACGCTGTACAGATCTGAAAGGAACACCAGCTGTTGTTCGTACTGACCAATATTTATTTTTACACGCCATTTCTAAAAATGGTTACTTAAATGGATTATTTACTAACAGCATATCCGAAGAAAACTTTATGAAATGGATGGTAGATATTCTCCTACCGTCTCTTAACCCTGAAACTACTATTGTTGTTGATAGCAGTCTTTTTGAGATTATTTCACCGTATAAAGCAATAACTCGATATGACTCAAAATATGAAATGATAAAATGGTTGAAGAGTAATAGCATCCCCTATAACTATTATATGCACAAAGCAGAATTGTATGAACTCATAAGTAATAGCAAAATAAAATCAAAATGTAAATTGGATCAAATCATAAAATCTTTTGGTCACAACATTTTGTGTCTGCCATTTAAACTAGACAAACTTACTCCTATTGAACTCTTATGGGAATATATCATAGACAAACGTATAAAAACTGTCGACACAGCAATGGTACGAATTAAACAGCATATTGAAAAGTATATTCTAGATTTAAAACCTGCTGTGTTTAATATGTTTACTAAAACTGTAGAACTATGGGAAAACGAAATATATCAATATGATCGTATAATTGAAGAAATATTGGATCAGCAATACGAAATCGATACAACGTGCATTATTGAAGACGACTACATTCCTACATATTTTTATTCTGTTCAAGATTAAAAGTTTAATAAAGGCAATACATTAAAATACTTCATGTTCCTTTTTGTGACCTATCTTAATAAGACACATGAACATAAGAAAATAAGTGATTTGTAATACGGCACCATTAAAAATAGTACATAATCTACAATAACTACGCAATACTACCAATAATTGCTCGTAGCGAGACCATATAGGACCATAGAGAGTCTTTATAAACGCTTTACAGACAATTTTTTTTTTATTTTTGAATAAATTTGTATAATTAATTATATTCATATGATTCGTCAATATGTACGTGAATACCAAAATATTACAGATATGACTTACAATACTAAAAAAAAATTTAGACTGTTTTGAAAAATTACAATCAGTCGGCTGAACATTTTTAGCACTTGTCATATATGTATATATATCGCTGTTAAGGATTTGTTCTTTCGTCAGCATTATTGCTAATTCAAATGATGGAATGACAAATGAAAATTGAACAAGTTTAATGTGTACTTGCCCAATTTTAACATTTATTTTAGTTTTTACCTGAAGGCTTTGTGGATTTGTGGCTTTTGCATTCTCGAGCGCTATGAAATCCTTCTTTGCCTGAATTTTAGAGATAGTGCACTTTACATTATTGTTGCGCTTATGCAAAGTACAGTGTGACGTGGGCTATTTCCCTATTAGGCACGTAGTTACTATGATAAATGTAAGTATTTCTAACCTACCTACCTACTAGCTATGAAACAGTTTTATATGTTAAGATCATATGCATTAGGATATTATAGAAAAACCATATAAGTACAACATTTCATACAAGTATGTTTGCCCATTTAATTTATAATCAACAAACAAACATCAAAAACAGTTAAGAAAGTGCTTATGTCCTTCGATGGACTGCTTATAAACATTGACATATGTACATACCTATTTATTTTTTTAATCGACTTTAAAAAGAAGGAAGTTCTGATTTCAGTTGTTTTATTTATGTTTATTGCCTCAAAACTCCGTCAGTTCTAAACCGATATGAAAATTTTTTTTTTTACTCTGAAAAGGTAAAAAGAATTTTACCTTGTAGAATCGGTTCAATAATTTAGTTTTTAGATCAAAATAACTAGTTTTGCCACAATTTAATAAAATAACATAATATCTATTAAATAAAACAATAAATCTAAAAGAATTTTATTATAGGTTCATTAACTACTAAATATGCAAATCCGTACATTGTAAATGCGTATATTTTATTTTATGCAAAATAAACAATGAAGGAAGACAGTTTGCAAACGTATGGTTAATTGTTACAAAACGTGTTTAATTTTCATTCGATCCTGCGTTGTCAGCAGTAAACGGACCAAACGAGTAACCTGAAACAGCTACTTCATCCAAACAGTTCTAAATACTAATATATTATACATAACATGTTATCAGGGCCGGATTATCTATTAGGCAGTGTAAATGACTACATAGCCCCTCCCCCCTCCAACGGCTAGAGCCACACTCCGATAAATAGTTTTTCGAAAAAATTTCTTAAAGTGAAAGTTGCATTTAAAGATTTATTAGTAACAAACCCCCAGTTAAATAGGTTGTAGTTTTTTTTTTTTTTTTATGTTACAGCGTCATATTTCAATATACGTCGTAACGCATTTCAAGTTATTATATATAATTTATAATAACTTTTTTTGTGCGATACCTGCCTAAGGACTCCGACATGGTTAATCTGGCCCTGTATGATATTATGTTAGTATCATAAAAAATAAATATAAATTACCTTACCTAAACTTTAGGTAGACTTAATCTTTTTATAATGTAAAATAAAATTATTTACAGATTCACTCGCCTTGATCCTGTGGGACTTGTCAAAAACCCTTAGTGCTCTTTTATTAGTAATGAACTCCCATACTAAAAGTCAATTTTCTCGACAGACGGTTGCGAGTCGAACTGTCAGTCGGTAACTCTATTTTTGTATTACATATTACCATATAATCCTAATAGGTAAATTAGTTTAGGCAGGGTGAAATCGATACTGTCATTAGCATCCTTCCAACGATTAAACTGAATATGTTCTCAAAGAATCGAACCCATACTATAATAAATAATAACCATATATAAATACTATAAACTTTATTTATATTAATATTGCGCGTCTGTTACAAATACAGTACTAGTTAAATATATTTTTGTGGTTTATTGACGTTTATTCTTGTTGTTTCTTAAAAAATATATTTAGTTTTATTAGTAAACATTCTTATATCAATACTAATGATATCAATTTGATCCTGTAGAAGATTTAGTAAATATCCTTCATCCATTTCTTAAGAAAGTATATACCTGAATGAAGCAAATAATAGTTTTTTCATAGCCGTAATACATAAGTTATTCCGTATCAGGTGACAAATAGGAGGTTCTTTAGTGGTACATTGTCTGCGAGTTCGCGTGACCACAGCGAGCGAACTATCGCATGACTACCATAGATCATAAACTCCAGTTTATTAATGTTTTCCAAAGACTTTTTGTTTAACAAACTTTTACCAGGACAATAATATGAACTCATGTAGGTCGATATTATATTTAGGTATACATATAATATTTGATATCTATACGTTTATTGCATAAACAGCACCTACCTAAATTAATAATCGCAGGGTAAAAAGCTCTTCAGTTCTTCAAAAAGTACAATTACAAACATTGAAGTTACCATTTCACCGAGTGACGATTTCAACGACAATATTTGTAAGTAGTGAATAATATAAATTTAAATAAAATTATATAGGTAAATTAAGATAGGCTTAAATCTATACAGATAATATGTACTCTATGGAAAAATACGGGAGTGTCCACAGAAGAAAGAAAATGAAATGGTATTTAACCCCGCGTTATTGGTAGGTATACACTGGCAAGGATCCTGTAAGAGATGATAGGTAAGATTGAAGTAGAGTCATTCGCCGGTCATCATGGCTCATATGATTAGATGAATCTATCATCATCATGATAGTATCTATCATTAGATGATGATAGATTCATCTAATCATATGAGCCGCACAACCGGTTATCCGCAGTGTTATAAAAAAATCATAATTATATATTCAAACAGACTTGTTTACTAACTCTTTTTTGATTCTACTACGAGACTCGGAATGTTAGTTTCTACTGAGAAGAATCCGCAAAATCTTTAAAATCTCTGTTAATATTTTATATATATATATATATATATATATATATATATATATATATATATATATATATATATATATTTCTAGAATATCATGGTCACTTAAAAACACGTGCATGGTTGGTTAATTCATGCGCGTTTGCCATTCAAATTACGTATGAAAACCCATTGGAAACCTTCCTGGTTTTCTGGTGATATCATCACTAGAATAGCCAACTTTTTTTTTTATATAACACAGAGGACAAACGAGCATGCGACTCACCTGACAGTAAGTGACTACCCCCGCCCATAATCACCCGCTACACCAGAGGCATTGCTGATATGCTACCGGCAAATTGATCACACACCCCTCATCTATGATCACTTAACGCTACTTATACCTTGCCGGTACCAATAGTGCATTCCATCGTCATAAAACTGGTTAGTCAGATACTGATTTTGTTCCTCCATCCAGATATTTATACCTATAATTACGTATAGCTCAAACATAGGTAGATGGCGGAAAGGGATTATTAGTAATGCGGATTACCAGTCCCATTGCTACCAATGTTCGGTGTATTCATCAAATGGGCTAACTGAGCTGCCTTTTCATACTCGCCTCTCATCTCTCACTGGTGTCCCGACAGCACATACCTGGCGCATAGCGCAGGCGGGGTTACCATTCTATTATCATCTATTAAAAAAAAAACATAGGTATGTATACATTGCAATCCTTTTTACTAAACTGGTTTTTAAAATCATGTTCCAAACTTAAATGCATGTAGGGCAGGATGCAGACTTGCACAGTCTTAAGTAGATAGTAAAATAAAATCTACAACGTCACTTCTCGTTACTGCTGCCAGTATCCTTTGCTACTACGATAACTTGTTTACGGCAGCCAGAGCAATTATATTGCGAGCGAGAAATTATTGCATTTATACACTTCCAGTAGTTTATATGTGCCTACGTGTATGAGCTGTAATCTGCGTTAATCTAAAACTCCATTCGTAAAAAATTAATACAGACAAAAAACAACGACCTACCTATCGTAATATTTGGATTAAAAATAATGTTTAACTACGATCAGCTATTTGTAAGTGGCTCAAAGAGACGGAGATTCGCAATTTTATTTTTTAACTAGTTTTTATCCGCAAATTCGTCTGCATGACCGAGATGTACTCGTATTAACTGACCAGGATAAAAAGTAGCCTATATCCTTTTTCCTACCGTGTAGTACGTATAAAAATTTTATAGTGATTAGTTAAGCTGTTAAGGCACTATTACGTAACAAACAAACAAACTTACATTTACATATCATATTAATAAGGATGTATTAAATACGCTATTATCTTCGCCAATAATGAATCGATTTGGAATGATTAAATGAATGAAAAATCTTGATTGTTCCCTTCAAAAAATAACAAGAAGCAATATAAAGAAAAAAACAATGAGCGGTCTTATCGGTAAATAGCGATTTTTTCCAGACAAATTTAGAATGAAGCGAAATAATTAAAGTTGCGTCTGGTCAAGGTGTAAGAATAAAATATAATAAGACTAAACAAAGAGGGCTAAAAATAAATTTAAACACAGTGTAAATTATACGCCGATTTTGATATTTTTTTACATTTAATAGAATTTAAATACTTTCCTATTGATTCCATATTAATTTTATGATAGGTTTTACCTATAAAGTATCCACTTGATATGAACATCACAGAATCGTGATACCATTGACGCCCATGACATTCAATATATATGTATTGCACCTAGTGAGGTATTAAGGATAGAGGTATTAAGCTTTTTGTATCAGAGTTTCCACTAGATATTTTGGCCTCTAAAAAACCTGTCTAAATACCTCACAAAAAATTTTACCACTGGGAGATACCTATTGCACTAACTAAAAAATTAACATAA